AATGTAATCTTTATTTCGGAGCTACATTCATCAAATATGAAAATTCTTTCCAAGCGAATATCTTGCTACTACAAAGCAAAGTGAAAATCGAATCGTTCTCAATTACGTCTAGGAATGTTTACGCTGGAATTCGAATTAGGTATTTGGATGTTGTCAACTATTTACAATTTAGCGATTTTTTGTTCGTCAGTCATCTGGTTCAGATCTGGCCGCCAGCCAAACAGCTGGCTTGGTTGTCGCTCTAGTAGTGCTGGAGCCAATCTCTAGTAATAACCGTGTCACATGGTTTCCCTGACAAAACCACAGATGATATTATCATTACTGGAAACGATGATCCGATTTTATTTATCTTAATGCTATAAATTTTTTTTTATAGTTATAATGCTATATATTTTTAGGTATTAAATTTTTGACTTCCAGTTTTGAATTTGAAATCTAATATTGATTTAATTTTTTCCTAGTTTTTTGGGAATCGAAGATATATTTAAAATTATTTTTAGGATATCGCGAGATTATCGCGTTTATTAATTTCGTACCAATACATATTTCCGACGTTTCGGATGCTTAATAGTTTTAGAGACTATACACAACGATGAAAGTAAACAAAATTTATATTTTCCATTTTACTCGATTATTATCCACGCTAATTTAATTTCGAATTGAAATCAAACTTCTTCATAATCAGTTTTTCGATTTTAAGTTTACTCAAAATGATCAGCATATAACTGGCACTTAAATTAAAAATCTTGTATTTCAACTGATCCCACCATCGTAATCTATATGCAGGAATCCAGGAATCCAATCAGGATCCATTGCTTATCAGCAAACGTGACAAATAAAAAAAAAATTCAAAAAAAATGTGAAAAAATAATAATTAAAAAGCCTGTCGAATGTTTCTGAAAAGAACGGGACTCGGCTGTGTGATAAAATACATGACGTGATTTTCTCAAATTTATAAGCAATTAAATAAATTTAATCTAAAATAACGTGAGTAAAAACTATCTAGTATATTTCACGATCATTGTTGCGTGTTCTACTGTCAAGATCACGATCGTGTTCAGGAGACAAGGTTAATTATGACGGCCGCACTACCACCAGCGGTAGCTAGCATACGAAATTCACATTGAATCACACATCCACTTAACGAATAATTCCTGTTTTTTTTTTCTTTACGAAAATACGGATTTCAAAGCGAACCTTCGTCGTGATGTTGTTTTTTAATTGGAACTTCGTGTGTGCCGTGTGCCAAGACGTTTACGGATAGGAAGTGATTAGTTGCGATTGTAAATTTAATTTCTGTCAACTATTAATAGTTTTTAAGGTCAAATATGTTAAGCGGACTTTGCATTGTGTGAATATGTTTCAGTTATAAACGAAGATGGATCGGCATCGAGAAGTCCAACTATACATCGATTACGATCATTTTACCAATTCATTAATCGATACAATTTATGTTATTTTAATGTACGCTCAATTGGTTTTGATAAATGGATCGTACATCAATTTGCGGTAGGGATTTTAACAGGAAATATCTGTCAGAATGATAGCGATGCTATTCGTTTATTTTTGTGTTGATCGGCCGACGATCTCATGCCTCGACTAATAAAAATAGTCATTATAACCACAACCATTATATAGTATATAGATACTTCCGCCTCCTAAGATTAGGTTAAAGCTTCAACCGCTTTAACGTCTATCTTATCCAAACCAGAACACGTGACTAATTCAAAGTACAAATAAAGAGGAAGGTAATTTCCTCTTCTGTTCTGAAGCCCGCCCTCTACAAAGATAAGAATTGTATAGATCAACCACTAGCTACTTAAACAAGAGAAGGTATCAATTTTGAAGTCTCTTATGATATTATTTCAAGGCAAAACACCAATCATCGTTTTTAACATACATTAGAGGTATACCGAGAGAGGCTTAGAGTTTTGGGAATCTACTTGGGAACTAAAAAGTAAATATCATGAATTAGTTAACGAAAAGCATGATTTTCAGTTTTCGTTAAATGGTTTTTGGGGTTTAATTAAACTAGTGGCTCATCTGGCCAGCTTAACTTATTTTTATGGACATATCATGTTTATCCGTTTGTTTTAATCTATCATTACTAAAATCCACATGGTTTATTTCGTGTGTATCGACCTATTCATTTTTATAATTTTCATTACTTTTAGTATTCGATATGAAAATGGTGACTTCATATTTTACATATGTTACATAAAATTTCATTTATGAAAGTGTTAGTTACATATAAGAGAAAAAAAATGCAGTGAAAATATATCATTTAAGAAACTTTTCATTTTTAAAACTTTTGATAATTTAAGCCGTAAATTATGTTGCTTCTAATGCGAAATAGATTAGCTCGTGTTACTCTAATATGCGAAGTCATATCTCATTTTATTACCAATACTCAATGGAGTTCATTTTTAATATAGCGGTCTAAATCAAGTACATTCATTTAAAACGTTTTTTTTAATTTTGTAGAGCGATGTTCTTGTAACGAATTGTATTTGCGTTTTGTAACTGTTTCCATTAAGAACTTCTGCTTCGTTCAGTAAACTTGCTGTTCTCGTTTAACTATATTCAAGCTATGTCTGTCCTAGTTCGTTGCAGCGTCAACTTCTGCTCCGCAAATTTTAAACAGTCATTAAGATCGAAAATAAAAGCGTAATCAAGAGCTCATCAAGATTTTTAATCTTAAATTACTTTATGATTTTATGCTGTCCGTAAAGATCAAAGTTACGGGTAAAAAGTTTGAAAACTACTGAAGTTAACATGGAAATAATCTTTCTTTTCTCAAGCGTGGAAATCTGCACAAAGGATGCACCCTTCTATTATCTGAAGAAGTGGATAATCGAATTTCAGAGTACGCAATGAGAAAATTGGGTTGAAATGGAAACTTATAACTAGAAAAGAAGAAAAAAGAAGAAAAGAAAGAAACTAGAAAAACTAGGTTTTCTCATTAACTTTACCATACTCGCGTCAAAGAAACAAAGTTTGATATGAGAAACATTGAACTGTACCTAATGTGTGAAATAAATGAAGAACCCGGATTCAACAAATTTAACTACACACACTACACAAATGTGCCAATGTTTTGTTTTTGGATGATCTTAGCACGATGAAGTCAAAAGTATTTTTGTCACAGAGTAAATCACAAATGATTACTCGAGAGTGGCCCGGCCCGGCAGTGAAGGAGGCGAGTCGCGTCGAGGCACCCTGTTGAAACACTTTCGGTGTTTTGATCCGACGATGATTGTCAGTTGACGCCGGGTTACATTAGAGTCACTGAGTTTCTTGTAATAATGGAAGATCCATTATCGTTGTATCATTTGGGTGAATATGAAATAACAAAAAAATACATTGTGGAGTCGTTGTGTTTATTTCAAAACTTAATTATATAATATGATGTCACCGTAGAGCACAGAAACTTCTCTTTGTAAAGTAATATTCTATTGATGTATTTTAAAAGAAAAAGTCAAGAAACACATTTGTGTATTTTAGTATTATTAATAAAATATTAATACGCGATAGTAGAAAAGTCTTATAAAACTGATTACTATCCATACAGTCATCAATAGAAGATTTTTATTTTTATTGCTTTTATAGGCAGACTAGCCGTACTCGCCCGTTTCGCTGGGCATTTAAAATTAACTTCATAATTTTTTGTCATTATTATTAGGGAGTCCAACACTCATATAAATATTAGCCTATCCATTAGTACATGTATTTTCTACATGGATACCAAGTTTCAAGTCAATCGGATGCATGGTTCAGTAGTTATACCGGAACATCCGTTAAAACCACTGTAGATTTATATATTAGTATAGATGAGCACATTTGAGCTGGTAAGCGCTCAGCATTGCTCACGGACATCAGCATTGCCAGGGACAGAACCAAACCGCTACTGCTTAAGACTTAATGCCAAGATGNAAATGTTTGTATGAAAAAGATCCAGCAAACTTTATTTTTCCTTAGCGCTTATTAATAATATAATTAAGTATGTAGTTAGTAAACAGTTGATTATAAATGTAATTGAAGTTTTGTGGAATACGTGTGAGAAATAAACTACTAACTATTAACTAATATTTTGTAATGTTATGTCTAGCTGTGCTAACTGTGGCATGCTAAACTTGACTTTCATTAGTCTACTGCGTTCTTCCTATATCCCATACATTATTTATATTCCATGATAATAATATTTTTTTTAAATTCGTATCTAATAAATCTTAGAGGATTATTATTTAAAATCTTAATACAATTAACAAATCCCCATCGACTCTGTATAACCGATATATCGGCAAACGTAGCCATGATATATCTTACCTTCTTAACTTTACAACCTGTATGAATATCGCCGCTGACCTTGAGACAACAGATGCAATACATATGCATATCTACGTTTGACCATCTGGGCTTGTAAAAAATTAAAAAAAAAATTGCATTGGACAACATAATATTGTTTGTTGTAATTACGCAAACATTAACATATAAAGTGTTATTAAACATATAAGTGTGTTAAATTATCATAAAAATTGTCACTCAAACGATAGTGTAACCACAAATATCTCAGATATCTTGTCTTTATTGCTATAATTTCACAATTACTAGATATTTTTGACCAAATTTTTTTATTGCTTAGATGGGTGGACGAGCTCACAGCCGACCTGGTGTTAAGTGGTTACTGGAGCCCATAGCCATCTACAACGTAAATGCCACACCTACATTGAGATATAAGTTCTAAGGTCTCAGTATAGTTACAACGGCTACCCTACCCTTCAAACCAAAACGCATTACTGCTTTACGGCAGAAATAGGCAGGGTGGTGATACCTACCCGTGCGGACTCACAAGAGGTCCTACCACCAAAAGTCATTTAAAAGCCACATGATATTTATAAGTTGAGAGGCGCGTTTTCCTCAAATTTCTAACTTGAATGAAAAGTTTTATCATTTCGATAGCCCATACCCATACCAGATACGATTTCTTTTTCATTCCTCTCTTAACTGAAATTAAGTAAAATTCTATGTAAGAATCGTATCTTTTTAACAGTCTATGGACGGATAATACTGCGCACTTCACTGCTTGTTGCAATTAATAAGTAAGATAACACAAGTCATGTCAAGTGAAACAAACAAACCGTCAAATAAAATATGTAATTCCATTGGTGTTTTTATCCACATCCTATTATTAACATTTTAAAGGTGACAAAATAATTAAGAGGTACAGATTTAATAACCGTTCATATATTTGTATAAAAACAGGCAGAAGTACTTTCGCAGATTTATCATTCTGTCTTGTATTTATGAAGTTCACGACTGATGAAAAAAGATGTTTTTGAAAAACATTTTCATTGAATGTGTATTGTTGTATTTCGTAACGTTAAATACGTCGTTTGTGAACACTGTAAGTACTAAATTAATTTAATTTTGTAAATCTCTATCGATTATAGCTAAATACATTATAATTTGTATACTTATCGACGCTTGAAAGGCAAACGTGACTAAGCGACAATAACTGCTTTGTACATAAATGATGGGCAATAACCATATTCGATGCGCAAAAAATATATATTTCTAGGTCTATTAAAATCATTTCAATCCTACAGCTAGGTTCGTTAAAATAGATTTTTTTTCGGGTATTTCAACTTTAAATTAGTCTACTGTAAAGTTCACGCATTGTCGCTTAGTCATGTTTGATTTCAAGCGTCGATATGTACTATACTTTGTTGAAATTACACGCACGCCACCACGGCAACATTGATTCAACAGTGACTTAAATGTTCCTTGAAGGATCAACAACAATGATATTAAATTTTATCGAAAACGGATAAATACATAGTTTCGAAAGGCAGAGAAGACAAACGTGAATAAAACAAGACGCAATCTTCTTTATTCTTTGTTTGTTTAAATTAGATGTTTCTTTAAACTTCGTCAAGCTAGTTTCCTTGTCTGTGTCTGCACGGATACTAATGCTCAATATACTGTTCCTAGATGACGAAACAGCAAATAAAAAACTCGGGTAAAATATTGAAGAAGGCTTGCATGTCGAAAAACGATGTTACTGAAGGTCAGTAAGTAAATAATTTGTTGTTTGTTCAGATCTTGTCTGATAGCCTTGCCGATATACTTTTAGAATAAATTATATTTGTTATTATAAATTAATTCATTTATTATATTGGCTGAGCAACCGATTTAAGTTAAAAAAAAATTTGGAATTTCTTTACCTGCTTGAGGATTTCGGATATCTACTTTAATCTTTCCGGCTATTAATCAGAAGTCCGAACGCACAGAATCCGTGCCACCACGAGCTACTGCTATTTCTCTATTTCACCGCTATATTTATAGTATGAAGTAGTGTAGTAAATCTTTTAGTTTTTTGAAATTACGTATATACTTTGGTATCGTCCAAAAGGAGATAACTCAATCACCGTATTTATTCTAAAAATGAACATTTAAATTTGAAATTTGTATTATCTAGTTTATTTTCATAGTTAAATGCATTCCAGATCAAATTAGCGATATAGACAAAGGAAAGTTTATTGAAGATAAGAATGTGATGTGCTATATCGCCTGCGTGTACTCTATGAGTCAAGTAGTGAGTTGATTACTAAATTTGCAGCTTACACCAATACGTATTAATTTCTCCAATAAAGTATAATTGTTTCTAATCTTTTGCGTGTTTAAGGTAAAAAATAATAAATTTGTCCACGACGCTATGGTGAAGCAGGTCGATATGATGTTTCCAACGGAAATGAGAGACGCAGTGAAAGCCTCCATAGCTAATTGCAGAGGAGTTGGTGAGTTTCTTAAAATTACAAAACATGCTAATTTTTCAATTGTCTCAGATCGAGTGTTATTTTTTTCGAGCTTATTTAGTATGTATTACATGGAGTGCTATGGGATATCCTATAGGTATATTTACATACAATTACACCGTATACTAGAATCTTTCCCGAAAATAAAGACTGGTTATGGAACTGGCGACATTAAACACTTCAACTATAACATTCTAAAAATATTATTTTACCTATTAATTTAGCTGTAACAATTGCAACTTAAACAATCTATATAATTGTAGGCGCGACCGCATTATTGATACCATCGTCACACATCATAAGGGCGAATATCTAGGTGATCGAGCAAAGAAAAATAGCGAGTATACAAAACACATTTACTGTCTTATAATAATTTAGCAGTCTTATCTTGACGTTAGCAAACGTAACGAATGACAGTTCTTAGGATGGAGGCACCCCTCGTGAAGAAGGCTGGTTGGGAAATGAGTTGCGTCAATGCGCGCCTCCATCGGCTAGGCTCTGCCGTAGCACGAAGTTAGCCGAGTTCCGACGACATTACGATCGTGTTGCCACCTCTCTGGAATCGTGCTGCGTTTCGTTTTGCTACCAAACTAATGACCGTTTCCGACACGGCCATCTTATGCTACACACATCCGTGTGTTATTCTGTAACAATGGGAAAATAGCACTGTATATACATTTTTTATTTATTTTATGAATGAGGGTTTACTGGTGGCCTAGAAGTCTTTCCAGTTTCACCACAGGTGGGCGAGTAAAGGCTCAGCCAGGAGGGGTGGGATTAGTGACACAGATACATGATCGGATTTTACTAGTTCTATAAAAACAAATCATAAAGTACGTCCTTTTAGTTAGTTGTGTCAAAATAGTAGCTGTTACAATATATACATATTTTATTTCAGCTAAAAATTACAAAGACATATGCGAGGCATCATTCTGGACTGCAAAATGTATGTACGAATTCGATCCCGCTAACTTTGTATTTGCCTGATCGATTCAATGTAAAAAACTAAATGTATTAAAATTGCCTATGAAAAATAAATTAATGGATGGTTATAATGTTTTATTTGTATTTTATTTTACTTTAGATCTTAGTATTGAGGTACGGCCCTATGTATGCGTAACAGACTAAGTATAAGGAAATAAGCCCCGGGGCGCAATCTTGTGGGCCAGAACGATCGGATGAAAATTAATCCAGACCAGAATTTTGTTGCGTCGCTAAGGATCCACGTAGAAGACCATAGTCCGTTCTCATATTACACTCAGAGGTCAAGAAACTCAATCCTTAGAACACGGAGGAGATCTATGTCTAGAGACTACTTTTCATTTTCAAGACTATTAATTACGCTTTTATTTCATGGATATGTCTGTTTACTTGTTTCGAACTCTTAGTGCTATTGGAACCTATTTACATTTTCATTAAAGGAACATTTATATATACACACTTGGTAACTTTGAACAATTCATATTTGTTCGCAAATATAAACGGTATTTGGTGAAACATACTTCTATTCCTCTTTAACATTAACATTTTAAACAACAACAAGCAATAGATTTATGATAGGTTTGTGAATAATTTGATTTTGAACTGGAATAGTAATTCGTTAATACGCGTATTAGATGATCCAGTAAATTATATTAAATCGTATTTTTAGTTTAATTTAAGTAGTTGGATAAGCTTCGTAGCCAAAACAGCGGTGATTAGAATTTAAGGCCAAAGTTATAATTTTAAGCGAAAGCGAAATGAAATGAAATTATTAAAAGAGTGAAATTGAGTGAAAATTGGCTTTTCGGAATAAAAGCCATATCCACCGTTTTTGTTTCAGTTTCTCACAGTTGTGCACTATAATGATACTAAAAAAGAGGAAGCTGAGTACATAGGAAAGTTCGGATTGGGCCAAAGGAACCATAGAGGCCAAACCCTTGCAAATTACCTCGGACAGCACAAATTGTATCCTATGAATAATAAGTTCCAGAAAAAAGACCAAAGGTTATGGACGTGGAGGAGTACAGATGGGAAAACTAAAAACAAAATCCACTACATACTGAGTAACAGGAGAAATAAAATTCAGGATGTAGTTGTCTTAAGCATGGCGGGTGCGGGAAGTGACTATAGGAATTTAAGAGCCCGCATAAGATTGGAGTTAAAACTCGAACGCAGAAGACTTATTGTGTACCCGAAATACTATAGCCCACGTTCCCCAGTCAAATTATCTTCAAAAGCAACTTTAAAAAACGATCTGAAATCTGAAGACGTAAATAGCGTAAATGAACACATCATAGTTTCTATACAAAATGCAGTTAAATAAGTTAGAAGAACTAAAACGCCTAAGGCCATACAATAGGCCTCTCTTCAGCGGTATCGAAAAAACTTATCCAAGAACGTGCAGTGATACTAAAAACGCCTGACCAAATAGGAGTTGGAAGAATTAATAGTAGAATTAAACACCTAATACGTAAACAGCTGAGGGAGAAGAAACACAAACTGATCCTAGAAACAATTGAAAACCATAGAGGGCCAAAAGTTTTTCAAAAACAACACAAACGCAGCAGTCTGCAAATACACAAGCTCACTACGGATGGGAATTCCGTCACATCAGATCGAGATGAAATACTCCAAGTTGTGGAGAAGTTCTATGGCCAACTCTATAGCTTCGTAATGCCCGGACTGACAGTAATCCAGCAAAAATTGCGTGCCCTCTTAAGAAGACACACGACGTAAGATCTGCCGGTAATAACTCTATAAGAGATTAAACATGCCCTGAAGCTTATGATGGCCAAAAAACAGAGAGAGTTGAGGAGTACGCTTACCTAGGACAGAACACCAGTCTCGATAGGACAAGCCCGGAAAGGTCAACAAACGCCGCACACAGCTAGGATGGGCTACTTTCGGGAAGTTGACTGACATACTAAAGGGGAATATACCTATGAAATTGAAGCGTCTGATATTCAAGTAATTTGTTCTCCTTGTTATGATATATGGGGCCAAAACATGGACGCTTACAAAGCAAATTATGACCAAAATGCCAGTCACGCCAGAGCCATGGAATGGGCCATGTGAAGCATTTCTCTACGGGATAGAATGCGCAATACCGAAATCCGCAGAAGAACTGGTTTGACTCACATAACCAAAACGATTGCTCCGAAGAATTGGAAGTGGGCCGGCCACATATGTCGTCGCACTGACAATCGGTGGAGCACAAAAATACCGGAGTAGAGACCTCGTAATAGACGTTGTAACGTGAGCAAACAACCAGCGAGGCGGACCGACGACCTGGTCAAAGTAGTTGGTAATAACTGGATGCGAAAGGCAAGAGACCGAAGAGAATGGGGTGCATTCGAAGAGAACTACACTGAGCATTGGGCAGACATGGTTGAAGAAGAGATAGTTTTAGTTCTTTATTGATGGTAGGACATCTTGTGAGCACGCACGGGTAGGTATCACCAGTTGCCTATTCTTACTGTGAAGCAATAATGCCTTTTGTTTTGTAGGGTGTGGCAGATGTTGTACTGTAAAAAAAAGACTTTAAAACTCATGTCTCAGGGTGGGTGGCGGTATTTACGTTGTTGATGTCTATGGGCTCCGGAGACCACTTAACACTAGATGAGTCGTGAGCTTGTCCATCTTTCTAAGAGATAAAGACAAAATCAAAAACACGTGTTACAGTGCGCTAGTTGAAATTTTGTGTTATTAATGTGTCCACTAATTAATGTGTCGTCTATAATTTGTGTGTTTGTCTTTGATAAGCGAACTTAATTACCAAAGTGTATTTAAATACACAGTTCGATCCTATAATCCAAGTTCTATGTCATCTTTTATAATGTACGTGTAAGTAAAATACAATCAGTCTATGTTGATACGGTTTGGAATGAGCCAAACTTAAAATGGAGAGAAAGGATTTTTATTTGTTGATCGTTGTTGTTGCTTTGACTAGTGGAGTTAGTTCTGTAAGTATTTCGAATGAACAAACTGAAAAAAAAAAATAGTTTAAAAAACCTAACAAAATGCATTTTTATAGAAAATCCAACTAAAAAATAGAAAATAAATTTTAATAAATTTGAATTAAAAATAGTGTAAGAAAAAATGATTTTATTGTAAAAAAGCGTGGGTTGCTTTTCAGGATATTATCAAAATATCCCTTCTACTCATATCTGTTCATAAAATATTTATAACTACTGATACCATGCACCCCACGCTTTTTAAGCTACGCTTACGCCTTAACAGCGTATTTTGTTAGTTTTTTTAAACTATTATTTATACTTCATTTTTTTGTTGAATTACAATTTTTACAATATATTTTTTTAATATTGAATTGTCATCGGTCCTTAATAAGTAATACCAAATTTCGAGTCAATCCGCCGTTTTGAAGGAGGTCAAAATCATGTTCAAAGATTCCGTTACATACTAATAAACATACTTCTGAAGCTAATAAAAGCGTACTATAAAAGAGAGAGTACCATGGTTTCATTCGTTTTTGGAATAAGTCACATGAGTAGGTATATACTTGTAATGAGACCACCTAACTTGATTGTGATGTTACTAAAGTTGGTTTTGTTTCTGGTTGCGGTATGATTGGGTTACACAACGTTTGCTCATCGTAGGAGATAATATTGAAGTCAGTCCAATGGCTTGGAATTGGGTCTCTATGGGTTTTTATTCAACAAATCGTAATGTTAATTAGCAGCTATCTATATCTTGATGTAAATTTAATTGTATTTGTATTAATTAAAATTCCGTGCAGATGTCGAGACAGCAACTTAAAAATTCCGGGAAAATGTTAAAGAAACAATGCATGGGAAAAAATGATGTCACGGAAGGTTTGTTTTTTTTTTTGGATATTTTTTTAGTTTGCCCTATGTTTATTTTGAGAAAATTTAATTACATATATATTATGTTTTCATGATGTTTTGTAAAATATAAAAAATAATGGATTATTGACTTGTTTCTAAATTATGGGAACATTCTTGACGACTATTGCTTTTTAAATTAAATTAAAATTGAGACTTTGACTACATGTCTCATGGTGGAAGGTGGTGTTCATATTTATGTCGTCAGTAAAAACGATGAGCTCATCTGTCGCAAAATATAAAAATAGGTCATATATGTACTATATGTAAATGAAAAAAATATATTTCGGAATAACATTTTTCAGAGGAAATAGGAGATATAGAAAAGGGAAAATTTATAGAGCAAAAAAACGTTATGTGTTATATAGCGTGTATCTATCAAATGACTCAAATTGTAAGTAATTTCTAAGAGTATTATTTGATTAATTTCTTCATTAATTCTAAGAATTTATTTTATGAGACCGAATTAGTGTCTTCTTAATACTTATACATCAAATTTATTTAGATGTATATATATATTTATATACATATATGCACACATAGTAAATTCTGTTCGTTGGTAATCGTTTCATTTCAGAATGCCTGGAGTGGTTTAGGAATTTACTTATTGTTTGTTAAACACAGTGTAAATAAAATTTTAATGGGAAGAAACGCTATTTCAAATTCATTCAAAAGCAAATTCACAATGATTTTATCATATTTTTTTTTAACATTTGGCCATTGTAATGTCTTTAGCTTAGAATATGAGTACGACAATTATCTGTACGGTAACAAAGTGATGTCTGTCTATTATTATTTGTATTTTTAGATTAAAAATAACAAAATAAGTTATGAAGCATCAATAAAACAGATCGATTTGATGTATCCTCCAGAACTAAAAGAATCTGCTAAAGCATCAGCCGGCAGATGCAAAGACGTTTGTAAGTTTTTTTCCCCTTTCTTTTATTTAAAAATTATATTATATTATTATAAAATCTAAATATGATGTACAAAGTGATTATCTTTCTACATCATATTTAGATGTTCATTTAAATCGGATTATATGAATATTATTAACACGTTGACTGCCATGTATTACCCTACGCAGCGCACTGAAGTAAATGAGTCGATTTCGGTTACAAAGCACCTGGATTGCCTAACTTTTCTTTCTTTTGTTTGTTAATGTACGTTTTAGTCTTTTAGGTCTCTTAGAAATAGATTCATTCTCAGTATCTTCGGATTTTTCCCAGAGTCTACTAGATATTCCGGGGCCATTACTAAGAAGATCGCAGAAAGAAATCAAAGTAATTACTTGAGTGTGCCCCGTAGGGCATCGGTGACCTGCATGGCAGTCAACGTGTTAATAAATTCTTATTATATTTTTGTACTTTTAAATTAAAAATTAGGCACGCGGTCCAACTGACGCTATCAGGTTTTTGGGACCCATATTAACGATAACGTACTAAACGTTGTTCATCATAAAGATTGAAGTCTTAAATGACATTGCACTTTGACATCGATGGACTGGTTGATAATACCTACCCGCCCAAGTTCCTAATATATACTATCAGTAATTTAGCATCAAAGAAGTTGTATCGTCTTTATTAAACATGTTTTAAGCTTTACATTTTATGAATTTAATTAAGAATATTAAATCTAATATTGAGTAGTAAATTTAAGTTTTAATATGAGACGGATTTTAATTTCACAGCGAAAAAGTACAAGGATATATGTGAAGCATCGTACTGGACTGCGAAATGTATGTATGAAGACAACCCTAAAGATTTTATCTTTGCGTAATTTTTAAAAGTTAAAAAAAAATGTAAAATAAAAAAATGTTTCAAAAGAATATGTAAATAACCGACGCACTATACATGTAATTAAAATAGTCAAATTATTGTACGGTCTGTTTTATTTATTACCCAACAAGTAAATCCATACTAATTTTACAAATGCGAAAGTGTGTGTTGTTTGTCCTTCTTTCACATTGAAATGGAGCAACGGATTGATATATTTTTTTAAAGTGATAGTATTCATTCAAAAGAGTGACATAGACTACCATTTATTCCGAAAAAACATGTCATTCCTACGAGAAACTACACTGACGCGTTTGCTTGACCACTCGGGCGAAGCCGCGTGTAACAGCTGGTATGAAATAGCAATTAAATGAATAGGATTTATTAAACTATTAAAATAAATGACTTTGTCTTCTCTTTTAGAAGCGTATGAGGACTATTAGATGGTACCACCGGTCACTCGTATTGAATATTACGAGTATGTGAGTGCTACGGTTCGATTTTTGTAGGCGGTTTTGTTTTATTTCAAGTAGCTGAAAAAATTTCGCAGCTAAACATCAGGTAACATAGGGTAGACAAAGTAAGGTGTTTTGTAAGCACACAAGAATAGATATATCACCGTCCTGTTTCTGTCACGCTCATGAGTTCCGGTTTGAATGACTAGACCGCTATTAATATAATACAATAGAGACGTCAATTTGTTTGACACATAGACTCGGGTAACCAACATCACTTAGGCATACTAGGAATTTCACATTAATTTAGTCCTGATAAAAATTACTAAGTGGTCAATGCAGTTGAGACTCTTGTCACAAGATAAGAATTCGCTATTCAAGTTATAGGTCTACATATAATTTGAAAACAATATATAATTATAATAAAAACAACACTCAGTCACTCATTCGCTAAAAAAATAGAATAGCGATTTCTTCTAGGGCGATAGCCCTCTTTCGCCACATATCCTGCATACCTCCCAGGGGCGGCAACCTTGGAAAAAAGGCCCTTGATATTCTTGGCCCGGGGATATTACAACTCCGAGTTGATTGATTGGGGAGGTGACTTTTCTCCATCTGTTGCGGTAGGAGATATGCATCGAGTACCGAGTCTGAAAGTCGACTGTGCTGACTGTATTTTTCAAAGAGGTCATTTTGATGCGCCGCTACCAACCTCAGCGGTTTGGACTTTCTTAGCTATGAAGGACTTATTCCTATTGGAGCATTAAAGAGCCGTATCGTGGGTGAAAGCAAATATCATTTTGAAATAGACTGAAGAGACGAGGAGAGAACGAAGCCTTGTAGGATTCTGACCGCGAACAGGCAAGGGGCGGAGCGAGTTCCCTCGACCTGATACCGAATAGAGCGGCTTGCCAAGAAGTCTTGTAAGGTCTGTCCAATGCGCCAATGTTCGACAATTTGTAGATCAAAACATTGGGTCAAACTTTGTCGAATGCCTTCGTGATGTTCGACATACTTACAGCAAACACATATACTCTTCCTCCTCACGGCTTATTCTTCATTACTGAGGGTCGTGATTACAACACATGCTCACGATTGACTCCCACGGTGAAGGAATAACATCGTGTGATAAAAATCAAACCCGCAAAATTATAATTTGCGTAGTTACTGGTGGTAGGATCACTTGTGAGTCCGCGCGGGTAGGTACCACCACCCTGCCTATTTCTGCCGTGAAGCAGTAATGCGTTTCGGTTTGAAGAGTGGGCAGTCGTTGTAACTATACTGAGGTCTTAGAACTGATATATCAAGGTGGGTGGCACATTTACGTCGTAGATGTCTATGGGCTTCAGTAACCACTTATTCCTTCACCGTGGAAGTCAATCGTGAACATTTGTTGAGTACGTATTTCATTAGAAAAATTGGTACCCGCCTGCGGGATTCGAACACCGTTGCATCGCTTCAACACGAATGCACCGGACGTCTTATCCTTTAGGCCACGACGACTTCAAAAGTCAAGGTGGGCTGTAATCTTGTCACCCATTTAAGCAATTAAAAAAAACCTTAATAAGAGATTAATTTATCTTTGCTCATCCATCTGTGTGCGTTTTTAGCGCTCTGGAGTGTATCATGTAACTTGGTGTTGAGAGCTAAGCGAATTCTAATACACGCCTTATTCATATTATCATGATTCTAAATACGCAATATGTGGTTATTTTAGCACATATTATCATTAACCTTGAATTATCATGATGTTATATCGTAAAACTGCCAGTAAAATTATATCAAATTGTCGCATTTCAGTTGTACACCTATGTATTGACCAGGATTAAAATTATAGCTATTTACAAATATTAGTGAATAATTTCAATGTCAATAAAACCAGTGGGTTGTTAAATATAAATGCAGTGTAGCTGTTTGCGATTAAAATGTAAAAATTACCTCTCTTGACATAAAATTACTTCAATAAAAATATATAAAAGTTGCCGTAGTATTCTAGTGTACGTAAAACATCAAACCAGGAAACTAGAACGTGTCGCGCGGAAAACAATTTAATAAAATAAAATGTTGAAGATTCACGTACTACTGTGTTTTGGAATGGCAATTCTATATTTTGGGAGTGCAAAGGTAATTTTATATGAATTTTTTTTGCTAAAGATTTAGGCCTTTTATTTATCTTTCTAGTCATCGGTCACGGTAGATGAACTAAGAAATCATACGAGACAAAATAAAAATTAACAACTCGGTTAAAAAAAAGAAGTTAATATTGATTCGAATTCTAGCACCGTGATTAATGGTGTAAAAATGCTAGGATATAGAATTTCTAATCAAAAAAAAACAAGGCAAACCAAACCAAGGTAAAAGAGCCAAATTTGCACATAAATCAGTTTTTACTAAAATGTACAGCATTTTGTGTTCGGACTATGAAATTCATCAATTAGTGTGGTTCATTTGAATTTACGGTAGCGACCAAAGTTTTAAATATTTGTCCTTTTTACATCCGGTGTTGAATGGTTACCGGAGCTCACAGACATATACAACGTAAATACAAGGGCGGATCCAGTTTTGGCGCCAGGAGGGGGTCACATAGTCAAATTTAGATGCGTTCGTTCCCAAACGTTTGCCATTATACAAAGTTATTATATTATATTAAATTAATTAAATATTGAAAGTATGTAGTTACATAAAATCTGTATGGTGACAAAATATATAAATAAAATCATTATATTCAATTAGTGGTCCACCTAAGTCCTGGAACCAGCTCAGGGGGTGGTCATGACCCCCATGACCCCCCCCCCTGGATCCGCCATTGCGTAAATACCGTCGCCGAATTTGAGACATGAGTTTTAAGTCTCAGTTCTTTAGTACAGCGACAATTAGGTCTCAATCATGAGTTTTCGAAACGAGCCGTTATTGATAAATAATGACCGGTGGTAGTGTTCAAATATTTAATCTTTTTTTTATGATTGATAGTTTACTGGTGGCTCGAAGGCCTTTCCAGTTTCACCAGGACAGGTGGACGAGCAAAGGCTCAGCCAAGAGGGGTTTATTTTATTTGCACACACACATACACACACACACGTTTCTAAGGTTCTGTTTAAAAAGAATAGTTTATTTGTGCATTTTAAAACTGTTAATGTTATTTTCGAAGGCTGTGACACCAGAAGAATCAAAAGCATTCGAAGCGTTTGCAAAACCCGTAATAGAGCAATGCCAGAAAGATTTTGGGATGGATAAGGAATCCTTTGCTCAGAAAAATCTAGACGAAATCGACGAATGTTTAATAGCTTGCGTCGTTGAAAAATTTGGTATTGTAAGTAGAATAAGAACATTGTATGTACTATACTGCTTCGAAGAGAACTAAGACATTTTATAAGCAATGCTTAGTTATGAAATATTAATAATATAGCCTTTTATTGCGTAACTTTAAATAACAGCCAATTAACTTTTAAATTACAAAAGAGTCCGCACATAATGACAAAAAAAAAGTTTTTTAATATTAAAATCGTAATTCTATATTATGTATTACAGACGAATGATGAAAAAATTGATGGTGATGCACTCAAAGCCTTAGTTACAAAGTTTGTTGGAAATGAAGAGGAAAGAAATAAAATTAATAAAATCGTTGAAGAATGTACGGAGGATGGTAAACATCAGCATTTAAATTTTACTGGTTTAGGTTGATGATTTTTTTCTGATAAATTCAATTTAGATAAATAGTTCAGTTTTCTAAATGGAGTCTAGTAGTTGCTTGTTTACTGACATTTATTCAATGACTGACTGATCCTAACATTGATTTATAAAGAGGCTCATAATGGTTGGTTATCCAAGAAATTTGTACACAGAAACTGATGACATGAAAATGGGTTCCAAACTATGGCTCTTAATTTAATAGACTGCAACAACTTATCATATCCTTGTTAAAACAAAGTCGAATCATTAATATCAATTTAATTCGCAGCCAACAAATCTGGAGATGGGACTTGTAACACTTCCACAATATTATTCCTATGCCTACTTAAAAATGGAAAGGTAAGTGTGGCGAATTCTAAGGCCATAGATTTTTTTAAAATCTGAATGCGCAAGTATTATCATTCGCCGCAAGGCTCCGTCTAATTGTTATTTGAAAATATTTTATCTTGGACTCAATACCTTTTACTTTAAGTTGAAAATCGCACATCATATTAAATGGTGCGTTTCAACTGATAATTAATCCTACTAATATTATAAATGGGAAACTTTGTAAGAATGTATGGATGTATGTTTATTACTTTTTTACGCAAAAACTACTGAATGGATTTTGATGAATCTTTACAATAATATAGCTTACACATTAGAATAACACATAGGCTATAATTTATAAAGGAATAGTGTGTTTTAAAATATCCAAAATATAACGATAAGTATCAAGGAAATAAAAAAAAAATCTACCATCTGCAAGCTATTTTACCGTGCGCTGCAAAAGCCGTTGAAGTTAGACGTATATATATAATGTATTATCGAAATCTTTATCTTAGGTACCTAGTTCTACAAAAATCTGCGTCGTTTGGACAAATTATTGAATATTGATGACTTTAAACAACTGAGTGCGCGACATCATGAAAGATGAAGATAGAAAAGTCATATAAGATCAATAATAAATTACAGTTTCCGAAGCGAAGCGCGGGCGGTTCGCTAGTTTTTTAAAGAACAGTAACGACTAGTATTACTCGTATTTATAACTTGTGATAAGAACTTTGTTCTTTCATATAGAGCTTTCATATAAAAAAAAAATGGTTTACTATTATTACATCATTAAACGTATTATATTACGAAATATTCGCCTTTAACAAAATGCATGCAGTCACCTAATTGAAAATACACAAAAGTAATCATGATTATTTTTTAATATATTATTTGGATAATTTATTTTTTTGTTTTTTCCAGGATCTATGGGGATTTTAAGCCATCGATTATGATGCCAAAAAGAAAACACACGTTCACAATTGCTTGATATTATAATTCATTATTGAACCATACGCAATTTTTGTTTTAATTATCTATCTTACTTTTACTACGGTAGAGCGTATTGAGAGCTGGCATGAGTAGGTATCACCATCTTGCCTATTTCTGCAGCGAAAAAGTTATGCTTACCGGTTTGAAAATTGTACAGCTGTTACAATACAGTTGAGGCCAGTGGCTAGTGGCGGAATTTAAATTGTGATGATCATGGGCTCCGTTACCAACTTAAAATCATGTAGCCCATTGCAAAAAAAAAAACTAATTTCATATTTGGCATTACCTGATCCAGCCCTGTTTTTTTGAACATTACTATTGGATATGTTCAACATTCAACATGGTGAACCCGCACCACTATTATTTTTGTTTCTGTGTCGAATTAAGGCTTAAACCGTAAGCTCAATCGCATTTGCGAATTATATTTTTTATACAAAAACTATGTATGCCATACAACCCTTTGTAGATATGTATTTGTACGTATTTGGTGGCAGTTTTTCAATTTTTGATATAGCAGCCTAGGCTCTTAATCTTACGAGAACGATTACTTGAAGAATAAGCATGAATCCACTTAGTTAGTAAGGAATGAAATATAAGCATTTCAATGGAAATTTTATTGCTCTCGTGTTGATTCATCGAATCACGTTGTTGTATTTTAATGACTTGTATTCTTGTTTATTCTCAATTATATCTACATACATTGCATTGCTTACTTGTAGTAGGCAATTAACGGTAAGGTGATTTAACGAATGCCTTGATCTTGAGTCTTTGTTGCCAGTCGCTTCACGTTAAGCATGCCGAAATTTTGTTTTGTTTCATATCAAAGCAATAGGTAAGTAAAAAAAGTAAATCGGTTACCTTGAGCTCTGATTTAATGACACTAGTTTATATACGAGATACTTCCGAGCGTCTGAGCGTCTTACTTATAATTTCAAACTTTGTTATCTTATAAGGAAACGTTAATAACATTCTTGTCCTTTAGATGCATCTAAATATTATTTCACAAGGTGAATACGACTGTCTGCCTTGGAACATGAAATCGAAGATGCGTAAACATACTTAAGTAGTCTGTCGGTCGAAGTCTCAATGGTATTGTGGGTGTCGAGTGAGCCATACTTGAAACCAGACTGCATTGGTTAGTTCGCGGCAGGAGTATGGCGAATGGTGATGTCCGTGCTGGCTTTCAAAATCACCTTTTTTATTTATATTGCTTAGGTGGTTGGGCGAGCTCACAGCCCACCTGGTGTTAAGTGGTTACTGGAGCTCATAGACATCCACAACGTAAATGCGCCACCCACCTTGAGATATAAGTTCTAAGGTCTCAAGTATAGTTACAACGGTTGCCCCACCCTTCAAACCGAAACGCATTACTGCTTCACGTCAGAAATAGGCAGAGTGGTGGTACCTACCAGTGCGGACTCACAAGAGGTCCTACCACCAGTAAATCAGCATCTGCCTGTTTCTTCCATAAGCAGACATTCTATTCGAACGATAGAGAAGCCGTAATGAAAGACATTTTAAACGTCTACTTCGCAATTGGTACTTACCTTCAAAAATAGAATTAAAATAGTTGAATATCTCGATACTAGTATACCGGCACGTACATACACACCATATAATGGACTATGAATTTGATTTAAAATGTTGATCACATAAACTATACTCAAAACAAATATATAACTTTAAAGTATATGCGTAAATCAGCAAGTCTTGATAATGGGATAAACGTTTTTTTGTATCCTATATTATATGCCTATCTGTTGTTAAGTAGTTACCAGGGCCCATAGACATCAACAACGTAAATGCTGCCATTGCTTTTGAAACATGAGTCTTAAGTCTAAATTTTATAATACAACGGCTACTCCACGCTTTAAGCTGAAATGCATTACTGCTTCACTGCAGAAATAGGCAGGGTGATGGTACTTAGCAGTACGGGCTTACAAGACCGGTACACGTAAAAAAGACGACACGATAGAGGTACCACCAACATTCATCTAGGAGCGTATAATATACGATTGGTCACTACCAATTATATGATGTTATATGTATATTTTTTTCGACAACGACGCACGGTCACCAGATAGGAAAGAGAAGATATACATACATATACTGGTGGTAGGACCTCTTGTGAGTCCGCACGGGTAGGTACCACCACCCTACCTACTTCTGCCGTGAAGCAGTAATTCGTTTCGGTTTGTAGGGTGGAGCAGCCGTTGTAACTATACTGAGGCCTTAGTACTTATCTCAAGTTGGGTGGCGCATTTACGTCGTAGATGTCTATGGGCTCCAGTAACCACTTAACATCAGGTGGACTGTGAGCTCGTCCACCCATGTAAGCAATAAAAAAAAAAACAAAAAAAAAATTAAAAGGCAACGGCCTGGCATTGCTGAAGTCTATGGGCGACGGTAACCACTCACCATCATCCGGATGCTCGTCTACCTACAAGGGCAATACAAAAAAAAAACTTTATGATTTATATAATAAAACAATATCATGTTTTTTTGAATGCTTTAATTAATTAATTAGTTGAGTGAAAAACTCTTTTTCTTGTTTCGTAATTTATGTGCTTAGTACACAACATTACCTTTTCGATCGTCTTCAAAAATCGATGTTGAAACCAAACTGAAACAAATAAATAATAAAAATCAATTGCGGTTACTTGTAATAAACATCCAAAAATCCTATAAGTAAAGTAAATCACTTGACCTGGAGTCCATCTAACCGAACTCAAGAGGAAGTTTTCGATTCGGACCGTTTTTGACTATTCAACGAGATACAGTTTGCATGTAGCAAATTTTTGCGAACTGTAAAACTTTTACTTTTACAGCATTACTTAAGTAGAAAATTAACAAAAATCTATATATATATAAAAATGAACTGCTGTTCGTTAGTCTCGCTAAAATTCGAGAACCGCTGGACCGATTTGGCTCATTTTAGTCTTGAATTATTTGTGGAAGTCCAGAGAAGGTTTAAAATGTAGATAAATATGAAAATGCTCGGAATTAAATAAAAATAACAATTTTGTTTTTCCTTTGATGTGTCCCCCGTTGGACGGATTCCTTTTGTTTGTTTTAAGTTTATTTCATACAAAAGTTTAGGTCTTTTATTTATCGATTGAGGCACTACGAAGTTTGCCAAGTCAGCTAGTATTAAATAAAAATGAATTCATATTTAATATTGTTTGTCGAGAGAAAAATACATCACAACGGTTTGATTTTCAAACTATTCAACATGGGCGTGCCGGATAGTCTCGTGCTCATCATACGGGACTTCTTGTCGAACCGCTCTTTTCGATATCGAGTCGAGGGAACCCGCTCCTCCCCACGACCTCTCACAGCTGGAGTCCCGCAAGGCTCTGTCCTCTCACCCCTCCTATTTAGCTTATTCGTTAACGATATTCCCCGGTCGCCGCCGACCCATTTAGCTTTATTCGCCGACGACACGACTGTTTACTATTC